ATAATCGGCGAACTTTACTTGTAACCGGTGGTCCAGGAGTAGTACGAATGTGATGGACGGTTTCGTGTTTGATGTTTCGAGGTAAACCCGGAGGACGAGTGATTTCAGAAAATTCAGACACAAGAGTAGCGTATGGTGAAGAATCTTGAACCACTTTGATACTGCTCTGCGAAAAAGGCTGAGATAAACCTTGTACTCGAAGACCAGTGGTTACGTCGACGATACGTTTTGTATGACAGTCCGGTAAAAGGTGATAATGAGCGAGAAAATCAGACCCAATTATCGGCAGATCGACGTCAGCGACGATGAATCTCCATGGAAAATCACGACGAAGTCCAAGGTTAAGATTTAAGTTTAGAAAACCATACGTTTTTATTTTGGTTCCGTTTGCAGCACACAACTCGTAGTTAACAGGAGAACGACGGTCTCGTAATAAACGACGAGGAAAACAGCATAAATCAGAACCTGTATCGACGAGGAAACAATTTTTGGTAACTTTATCAACAACAATGAGACGGCTACTAGATGAAGAGCAGTCAGATGCCGTCCTTACGGACTGCTTTGGTCGTTTCCCAAAAACTTGCAAGGCTTGACGCACTTTTTAGCATTTTGCTGAAACTTTTTGTGATACCAACAAACCTCGTCTGTTTTTTTGTTAGAAGAATCGTCCCGGTTTTGAGATTTAATTCGGTTACGAGAATTATGGTGATAACCGTGACGATTTCGAGAACGTGAACGAGAAGCAGCCAATTCAGCGACTTGTTTTTGCAGTTCAGCAACCGCTTTTAATAAATCGTTTTCAGTACCTTTGTTGTTCAATGCAGCGTTGACTGAGAAATTCGGAGGACAAGGCGAAACTTCGATGATTTTATCGGCAAGCTCAGAAAGTTTATCGATCGCCAACTCAGACTGTGATGCAAGGATAGCCTGGACGTTTTGCGGAAGACGTTGAAGCCAAAGCCGACGTAAGAGGTTATCCGGCACAATAGTTGTACCAGCAAGCGATTGGAGATGCCGAAGAAACTGGGAAGGCTTACGATCGCCTAGCTCCTCCGCACTGATGAGTTGGCGGACACGTTGTTCCTCAGACGCAGATAATCGTTCAATTATTTTTGTGCGTAAATATGTGTAGGGGTTTAATTGATGAGGATTTTTAATAACATCCTCTACTTCTAATGCAATGCGAGCGTCTAATTGAGAAACAACGTAATGAAATTTTGTTACTTCATTAGTAATGTCAGAAAGCGTGAATTGAGAATCAGCTTGAACAAACCACAAGCTTGGTTTATCTGACCAAAACGGCGGCAATTTCACAGCGACACGATGTACTGCATGGCGTTGGTTGACGGTGTAAGCAATGACGCCTTGAGGCTGCAACTGCTGTTGTTCTTGTAGTTGCTGCTGTTGCGGCGGTGGTTCCTGCGGCACCATTTGTTGACGTAGTTCCTCGATCTGTCGTTGAAGCAGCTCGTTTTCCTCACGTAGAACTACAAGTTGACCCTCGTCGCGAAGCATCTTGTGATGAAGCTATAATCTTCTACGATGGCGAAAAGGAAATTCACCAACAAAATACTACAATTCTCGCTTGAATTGTAACACAATTTTATTGTCGGGGTCACCAATATAGGAATAAATGGTTATTTGTTCGAGTATTTACTCCTATTAGTAATAAGTCAATTGGTTAATATCACAACGTCTATTTATTATGAATACAATTGACAGACTAACTATAGAAATGTTTTTTTCATTAAACGAAATGAATGTTCGTTGCTATGCTCACAATTTTGTTTCTCAACCACGTTCGAATGTTGGTTCGAATGCTCGGTGCGCTCGCCACATTATTACTTGTTGATCAAAATGTTGAATGGTCTAATATCTATTTTGTCTCGTTCTTATTCAATGGACATTACTTTATTTATTGACTGCAAGCTTGGCTTGTTTTATATAATGTGATTTTTAAGAAATGTAATTGGTTAGTAGAATTTGTATTTTTGTAATTTTGTATTGACCATATTTATAATTAATATTAATTATATATATTATGAATTAATAAAGATCTGAGGAGGTTAGTGACCATGCCAACGAAACGTTATTGTAAAGAGATGTGGCTTTAATTGTTAGCCTTCTTACCAGCAAATACGAAGGGTTAACTCTTCCAATCTTGGATCTTACTAACAACAAAACATGAAGAGTGCAACAAATGATTGTTAATAATTAATAATATAAATTACCAAAAAGCTCCAAGTTATGATAATATTACAGGAAAAATGATTAAAAAGTTTCCTATAATAACAAAAAGATATACATCAATAATATTTAATGCATGCTTCCGACTTTGCTACTTTCCTTCTCAATGGAAAGTAGCGAAGATTATTTTAATATCGAAACCCGATAAAGAAACTCAATTTGTAACTTTATACAGACTGATTAGTCTACTTCCATTATTTTCAAAAATTTACGAAAAAATCATATTAGCTATAATAAACAGAAAACTTATCCCGGGTCCCAGTTCGGATTCAGAAGTTATCAATCCACGATTAAACAAGTGAACAGATTAGTATCGCTAGGGAAAAAATATATCGAAAATAAATAATGCTACACAAGCATAATTCTCGACGTTGCTCAGGCGTTTGATAAAGTTTGGCACAGAAGGCTTCTACAAAAACTGAAGGGATTTTTTCCTAAATGCTATAGTGATTTGCTACAATCTTACCTACATGATAGAACCTTTCAAGTAAAAATCAATAAAGAAGTCTCAAAACGCCAAGTAATACAAGCAGGAGTTCCACAGGGTAGTGTTTTAGGCCTAACACTATAGCTACTATGCTCATCGGACCTACCAAAATTTCCAAATATACTGACAACAACGTATGCTGTGGACATAGCAATATTAACAACTCATCAAGAAGTAACAATAGCATCAAAAATATTACAAACTTACATTAATAATCATCTCTAAAATAGGCTAAATTCATGAAGAATAATAGTAAACGAGAGTAAACCAATTAACACTATATTCATTCTCCGTATATATACTTGTCCACCTATTACACTGAAAGGCAAATACATTCCATTCAAATTACAGGATAAAGATAGAATACTCATTGGAGTACTCTGTTGAATTCATGCAAAGTTTTTCTGTATAATATAATTTACTTATTGTCTTATAAATATTAGACAGATTGTAAATAAACTTAGAGTAAATAAAAAAAAATTCAACTAGTGTATTATTATTTGATGCTGCCTTCATATTTCATAACAGCAGCGAATAATCTGGTTGTCTGAAGAAATCTTTGCAGAAATTGCTATTATTTTGTAAAATTGGAGCAAAGTGATTTCATTTACAGTCCGGCCAAAGATAATTTTATGTTTTAACAATATATAAAGAGTGGAAAGTAAAAACAAATATAACATCGTAAAGTGCTTTTATTACACAATTAAAGCATGTGATTTAAAAATTTATTTTAATAACAAAATTTTATAACGAAAATAACATATTTTGCTTATAAATAAGTATCCGGTCAACTATGAATCTAGCACTTATATAGAAAAAATATAGTAACATGAAACAAAACAAATTGAAAATGGTGTCGAATGTAACGCAGTCATCAGTACTTCATAGACATACCCATAGAAGCTATCACGGCAGTACATCGGTAAGGTATTGATTCAATAAGTTTGTTAAATCTATCATGAGGTATATTTTTCTACACTTATTGCACTTTTCCCTATCAAACAGCTTTATTAGGATAATTGTGAGTTTCTAATCTTAATTTTAGTTCTTGCTATAAATGTTCTATTGGATTCAAATCCGGAGATTGACTAGATCAATCTAAAACTCGAATTTTCGTCGTGTTAAAAAATTGCTGAATACGCTATGATCGATGTTTTGGCTGCGAGCTAAGGTAGCATTTGCTATAGTAAATATCCCTGTATACGACAGAGTCCATAGTGCCATTTATTTTAAATATTAGACCTACGCCTTTCCAAGCAAATACACCCTATAGCATAATGCTACCTCTATCGCGTTTCATAGTTGGTATTTGATACCTTTTACCATCATTTCTAATCAAATTAGTCTTAGTTTCGTCCGAAAATAACACTTTCTTTCAGTCCTCTACAGTCCAACTTTGATGAGCTTTCGTACATTCTAATCTGGCCCCTTTATTTTTCTTACTAATCAGTAGTTTTTATCAATCAACTAGTCCAAAAAGTCCTACTTCTCTCAGTCTGCGTGAAACAGCACTTTAACATATACCTGATAAATTTTCTTCGTGGAATTCGCGTGCAATGATGGCAGCATTCTTTTTCATATCTGTTACAGCCTTTCTTTTAATTACGTTGTTAACACGATTAGTAGTTTTTTTTGGTCTGCCAGAACATATTTTTATTTTCTGGAGTATAAATATTCTTAAATTTATTTATTCTATCGTTTACAGTTGATTTTCCTATTACCAAAGGTTTAGATATTTTAATTGAAACTTTTCCTTCGTTGTGTAATTTAATCACCAGTTTTCAAAAGTTTAAACACATGTGCTTCGACATATTAATTGATTAATACTGACTTCAGAGCATAACAGAAACGTATTCCTAGCGCTTACATACTTTTACAACCTATAACGTAAATAAAGAGAAACAAAATGTATCTACTTAATATTTAGCCGGATACTTATGAATAAGCAAGATTTGTTATTTTCGCTCTAAAATTTTGTTAATTGTTATAATAAAGTTTTAAATCACATGTTTTAATTACGTAATAAAAGTACTTTACGAAGTTATATTTATGTTTCCACTTTCCACCCTTTATATATTACTAAAACATAAAATTATTTTTAGCCGGACACTTTTGCATGTAACTGTAATTAATTGTTCTTCTTTACGTTGATAATGATCTTCTAATAAGTGTAATATTTGCTGTCATTCTGGATAGAATGCCAGCATACCTCTTTCATTTAAAATTTAAATCAATTTAATTAAAATTTAATTTTAACTATTTTCAGAAGTGGAACATGGAAATGGAAACGATCTCTGAAATTCAAATTGAATCACGTGATTTACAACAATTGCAAAACAAGGAAACGTCACAAAATTCTAATCCATTTTTGAATAGCAACCAAAATATAAAAATCAAACATATAAACGATCAATGGGAGTTTCCAAGACATAAATTAAAGGTATTCTTTCTTTTATATTATAACGAACGGGGGACAACTCTCCCTCTCTGGGGTAAAGTAAATAAATTATTAATTTATATTTTATTATATTTGTTTCTTTTTATATTACAAGTTGAATTATTTGTAGCGAGAGGTAAGCGTTTACGAACAGGTAAGTGACGAGCCCTTTAATCGATTTCGATTTTGATTACTAACTCGCGGCACGGACATCGCGAAGAAGCGATCGCCACGAAAGGAAGAGAGCACGTAACGAGGGATAGTTTTTGGTTAGCAACAGCGAAGCCAGCAAGTAGGAACCGGTAGAGAAAAAGTGAGGATGTAACAGCCAAAAGTCTTTATTCGTCACGGGCAGCGTTATACCTGTGATAGAGGGGAAGTGGCAACATTAATATATATCAACAAAATAATAGCGGAAAAAAGAAGTCTATATCGTATAAGCGTGTTCACAAAGAAATCGGTAGTACGCCTAACCACTGTTGGTACCTGATCGTTACCTGCTTCTTGCTCTCTTATTTTATATACCTCTCTTTCCTACTGCTTGTACTTGGATAACTTGCTCGTCAGTTTATCTAACTATTATTCTTATTGCGTCGCATACAATAAATAAGTATTGTATATTTAAAGCGCATGCACGCGAATTTTGTTTCGATATCCTGACGTGTTATATGTGCGCCGTGCATACTCATCCGTATTTAAACTTATAGCCTATTCATTTGCAAAAAAATAAACTTATATCTTATTTTTTTTATAAAATACGCATTAGTGCTTTGTTTGTCGGAACCAGTGGTGGGTAGGTAAATTACCATAGGTAAAATACATAGTTTTAGACACGTAATTTACTATGTATATTACCTCTCGAACTTTCAGAGTTTTTGACAACACGTTTTGACATCTTTTCGGCCATCGCCGTGGGATGGCGCGCCGACACGGTGTGCCGGTACAGCCGATGCGGTACCGGTCTAAGTCAGGTCTTTTAAAATCTGTTAGCAAAGCATGCACTCTTCCTGCAAATTCGTTATCCACGACACTTTTTGCTAACAAATTGCCGTTATGGCTGTTACACGTTACAAGCCAAATCCCAACAAGTTGACCCATGAGAATCATTACAGCTGCACAGTCACTGATAACAGCGTATATATTAATATTATATTTTTCTCTTGCCATTCCAATACATTCGTCAACCACTTGACGCAAAGCTTCCCCAATTTCATGATGAGTACTGAAATTCCAGGTGTTCAAAAAAATGTACTTTCTTCGCTGCACGTTGTCTAAACGAAGCATGGCAACAACATTTTGTTTATTGGCCGCCTTATTTTTCCATTCGTCTATTAACAAAACTACATTATTTACACCCATATTGGCTATTGATTGCTGTAACTCGTTGAATCGATTACTAAGATTACTGTTGGAGAGAGTCTTATTACTTGGAATAATGTAATTTGGATTTAAGGCTTGAATGAAATTTCTAAACAATGGTGATTCGACTATTACGAAAGGTATGTTGCATCCAAAAAAAAATAGCCCAAGCAATCTATCCAATTCATTACGATCAATATTAGCTAAAAAAAATTATTATCATTATAAATTTGAATTCAAAACATTTTAATAAAGACTATTTTAGATCATCTACATTATTATTGAAAAATATCGTATATATACCTGCCATTTTAATAAATAATCCAAACAAGAAAACTAAGAAAAATCACTAATTCCTGAACAGTTAATAATATATAATTTTTCTAAAATATGATTCGCTTCTTCACTTTAGTATAAGATTTGAGGTGAATAACCGAAATTTTCAAATGAAGAATGATAAATTACCTGGTACTAGTACTATTATTACTGTTTAGTGTTTATTGTGAAAATTAATTTTACAAAAACTGTGATAATTGTTATATTTAGGTTGTTAGTTTACTGTTGGAGATAAATAAATAACACGGGGCTTTCTTAGCGTCAAAGGATCAAAGGTCGAATTAAAAATATTCAAATTAGAATTTCAATAGCAAAGTACGTTGGTGTAACACTGCTGTGCATGCGCAATAGTATTTGGAAGTTTTTGACGTTTTTGACAATCTGACATGGTTTTTGACGTTGTTTACAGCTTCTGACATGTACATGTCGAAAACCTCAAAATCGTGTCATTTTCCCACCACTGGTCGGAACCTTCTCAAATTTGTGTGATTTTATGTTAGCTCGATTGTTTTGTCTCTTTGGTTGTGCCGCTCTATATATCGCTTGTTACTTACACAGGTCGAGTGTTTTCGGAGGAAGAACAAAGCATTTAAGGACGTTTCCCTGTTTCTTTTTTCTACGTGAAGTAACCTATATTACCGACGATTTCTTGAAACTTGGCAACGTCGCGCTTGAGCACACCATGTAAATAAACAGTGGTAACAGCGCCGATGGGTGCGCGTGCGCATGACCGCTTTCATAACCACTATATGATGCGTATTGCCATGTTTATTTATCATGCATTATTTTGCTATTATTTTATTTAATATCTTAATGAAAAGCCTTATAACATGGGTCAAAACTTTGAGGGTTGCATCATAAAAAAATCTTGTTGTTTATAATCAAAAAACTGTCTGCATGTGTTATTTGTAACAGGTCCAATTAACCGTTTCAAGTGCGGTCACATAAGGCCACGTGTTAAAATGCATTTTGATTTTTGTTTATTTCTCTGTATTTAGCATTATAACGTATGCCCAAAAAACGTGTGTGAGTTCAGAATACTTTAAACTATCATAATCCTAAGTTTCAGGCAGATCTATTATTATTTACATAAACAGGGAAACGTCCTTAATGCAGCAGTATCCAGACATCATCGGTGCAGATGCGCAGGGTCGGCTTCGTATACTTTTGGTTACGATTTAACAGTTGCTACCCTTTTTTCGTCTATATTTCACTTTTTTTTATTTTTCTCTTCTTGATATGGACCGATTAACTTGATCGACGTCTCGTTCGAAAGGTAATTCAAATATCTACAAATTTCTTCATTCAGGTATGTTTTGCTCTGCAATTTTTTGTTTTAAAGGCGAAAAATTTGTTTTTGTAAACATTAAATTGTTTAAAAAATGAAGGAGTAATATTTGCGAGTTAGAAACATTTTTTGTTTATTTTTCGTAATAAAAATGAATATCGTATTCGCTAGCTGTTAAAAATTTTGTCTCAAAAATATCTTTATTGATTGACTTATTAGAGAGGGAGAAGCGACTCTAGCTTGCAAAGCTATATATTGGCTAGCCACATTCCCAACAGTGTAGATGCTTCTCTCTCTCTATCTATCTATCTAAGTAAGTTCTATAGTAGTTCCATTTGATTTCGGGAACCTTAATTTATTTAGTTCATTTTATTCGATTATAAATTAGTAGAACTCATAGAATTTTCATTTAATTATTAATTTATTGTTCAATTATACATTGAATACAGAACGGTTTGTCTATAATCTTTATGTTCAGTATATATTTATATGTATTACTATCATCTTTATCGATACCTTCGAGTTCAGATTATTTCTATCCATCTTTAATCCATGTAAACAATTTTTATACAATTGTAAGGGCACATACATAATCAGATCGATTGCTATAATAATATATACATAATGTTTTTAATGACAAGGCAAACTCTCACTAGTGGAAATTTCATGTTGCTTTCAAGATCCAAAATTTTTCTATAAAAGGAAACAAAAGTTTCTAATTAATAATGATTTTAATTTCTGACAAAAAATAATTTTTACACTTACTTTTTATGTAATATTTTTTGTAGCCATTGTTTCTTTTACAATGCTTTTACATCAATATTTCTAGAATTATGTAAATAATTGTTCAATACACATGGTAAAATTTTATATGGTATAATGTCAGATCTCCATAATATACCGTGATGAAACATTTCTAAAAATTTATTCACTTTACGACATATGATAGGAAGTTTAAGCCAATGATGTGGTGGTCCAAAAAAGCACAGTTGAAAAAGTATCAATATATAAATATAAATAAGCGAGTCGTTTACATCGTTTAGACTCGTTTGAGCTTTTAAAGTCTTGAATATCTAATGCGTAATCCATTTGAAAAGATGAAGAAGTTAATGTGAACTCTACGAGATACCAAAGCTGTTATGAGAGTACATGCATGTATTTGTTCTATATAAAATCCATACCTTACCATTTGAAATTAGAGGGAGTCATAGTCACTATAGTCCCCCTCCTGAGTTATATAGTATGATTATAGGTAGTTTGTATTAATAATTTTTTTCAATGTAATTGATAGATTTTTACTTTTTCTACGTGTCTTTTGTCGTCGTTGTTGTTCTTGACGATTTTTTAATCCCTTGCCTCCAGTTTACTTTTAACCAAGGTTACTTTGACCAACTCCAGGTTACTTTAACCAAGTTTACTTTTAACTTTCATTATGTTGGCTACCGCTAACGCAGCAATTTTCTCACCAAAACTACTATCTTTCGCTCGCACTCTATCACAAGCCTGTGTAGCTAGAATTTTGTCGGCTTCGTTTCTCGCCCTAACGTTCTCTCGATTCTGAGAATAAGCAATATCGCGGTCTTTACAAGCAGCGTCTAGCGCATTTTTTTCAGGATCACCCCGAGAAGTCGTTTTTTTAATTTAGTTCCCGATCCGCAATACTAATAACCAGGCAAATTAGCTTCGAATGTTAAGTTATTGTTGATTTTATTCACTAAGCCACCACCACCAGTCTTTCTTTCACTACGAATGACCATATCTCTTTAGAAGACGTAATGAAAAGAAAAATATATAAGCAGTTCTTTTATAGTCAGTAAACTGATTCGTTGTTCGATCGGTGACTTGAAAACAATATAAACTTCAAAGAGCAACCACTTAAGTTGCAAGTTATAAATTTTGATAGTGTGGTGGAGACGGAAAAACGAGAAAAAAGACATGCCGAACGACTACCTAACAGTATACGAGCAGTTTTCTGTGGCCCTAGTAACTGTGGAAAAACTAACTGTTTGCTAACACTAAT